CAATCCACACTGTTATATTGTCTAAGGACAATACACGTAGGACACTGGACTTGCTGTGTAGCTAGTGACCTGCAGGCCTGCCAGATGTTGCTGGCAACAGACAAACAACCTCTCCACTTTTCCAGCCAAGTTTGGACAAAATCGCGACTGGACCGCTAGTCCTCCTCCCCATAGCACCATGGCAGTCCATCTTGCGGTCAATTTCGACGAATTTGGCTCCAGACATCAAAGACTACAGCTACAAATAAATCTGTCTCTCCCAATCCAATTGGCCCATGTAGGAACACATGCTGCTGTTGAATTAGCTTATCAAATCTTGCACACTATATGATACACTGTGGCTGAATGGAGCTTTGGATAAGAACAGCACAGTGATGTATTATTGTGCCACTATCAGTTTGTATTCTGCTGTGTCATTCTCAGGGTTGAGTTGAAATATGCTGTGAGGTAATGTAGCCTGTGCCTCACCTATACTACGTGCATGTACAATACTCCATTTCTGAGGGTTATTCTGGGGACATTTGGAAGACACCCCTTCAGCTTAGGGACTGCTCTCCTGCCCTATTCCTACTATACTGGGGATCTTTGGGGATATTTGAGGCTATGTATCTATTTCTGCATGCAGTAAACATAGCTCCACACCTCCACACATCAGCCATGTATATGGACGGACTGACTGACTGACTCCATGGTAGCACTGAATCCTGAAACAGTTACCTGCTGTACATAACAACTTCCTTTCAGAATGTATTGTGGTTTCCTCCTCCTCCTCTGTAGTGATTTCCTTATTGGACTTCCCTCCCTAACCACACACTATCATTCACTGTATATATTCACAGGGTCTGTATGAGGCAGAGTTGAGTCGCAGTGAAAGGCTGGCAGGGAGGGCCAGGGAGGTGCAACATAGCGCGGACCAGGCTGAGTCGAGAGCTAGGTGAGAGAGGGAGGAGAGGGAGGGAGGTGGGAGGGAGAGAGAAGGTACAAGGGAGAGACCCTCTATCCATTAGCCGATATCTGACACCTTGTTTTTCTTCTACATCCAGGACACACAAATGGTACATGCAGACACTATGCTAATATAGTACTACATGCATCGATTTCCTCCAAGTCACTATTATATTGGTAGTACCCCACAAGCATTGTGTAAACAGTGGTGATGGGTTACTTTCTGTACTCACATGTACTATCATTATATCAACATCATGAAAACCACTTTCACACACACACACACACACACACACACACACACTTATAAACCCATCTTCCTCCACTATCTCCATGAGGCAATACCTTCACTTCAACAATAGGCCGAGTTCAAGGAACGAAGTATAGGCCTTAATAGAGGATCATGTGCATGCCTTGCTCTCCCTAATTAGACGTACTTCCTAATAAGGAAAAAGATGAGCTAACCACAGGAATGTCATCAAAGCGTGCCAGTAATTCCGACCAATCCAGTGAAATTAGTCCCAACATGTTCCTCGAATGTCGCACCCACGTCACTCCCTCGTGCCAATCCCCCATTGGCCCACTGCCCAACGCTCCGAACACTGCACCCTACAAATTACAACCCATCTCCCCATCACATTCTTCCACTGATAGCTAGCGACGTAATAGTTTCGAGAGGGGTTCCACTATGACTATTGGGTGGAGTGCAGTAAATACTGCAGTGGTGTGTTATGTTATGTACATGGGATTCTGGTATATACCCCCAATGAGCTGGCAGGGTGGACTAGTCATTTTCAGAGGGGCAAGTTGCTGTGGTGGCTGACACAATAGCAGGTCCCATCTCTTTCATCTCCTCCTACACCTCACTGTAGGTGTGGACAGGTGGCAGAGTTTCAACACTGCAGTAGCCCCATACACCGCAGAGTGTGTGCAGTCATGTCCTATTACAGATCTTGGAGCTTTTGAACTGCTCCTTTTGTCAGCTATATACTCCTCTTTGAGTCACATGAGACACGGTGTATGTAGTATCTTACCTCAGCTTTGCACAGTGGACACTAGCTTACACAGATGTCCACATTATGACTACTGAGTAGCGTAGCTACAGCTGCTCAGCTCACCGAGCTTCTCTGCCAGAAATGACTCAGTGATGGTTTGTTGCGGCCCATACAACCGTTGCGTCAATGTTCAATGCAGCCCAGTGCTCCGTGGTATTATCTGTTGTTGTTCCTCTCACTCCAGGTTTGAGAGGAGTAGACTGCAGTACATGATGTCCAACTCCCAGCACCTTCCTCACCCCCTCACCACCTCCACTCCTCACAAACCTCACCTCACAGTACATACTCTGACTACTTCCATACATTATAAAGGGGAGATCGAAGGTGTTGTATTGCCCTTACAACCTCACAGTACATACTCTGACTACTTCCATACATTATAAAGGGGAAGATCGAAGGTGTTGTATGCCCTTACAACATCCCCTCACAGTACATACTCTGACTACTTCCATACATTATAAAGGGGCAGATCGAAGTGTTGTACTTGCCTTACAACCTCACAGTACATACCTCTGACTACTTCCATACATTATAAAGGGGAGATCGAAGGTGTTGTATGCCCTTACAACCTCAGCAGTACATACTCTGACTACTTCCATACATTATAAAGGTGAGATCGAAGGTGTTGTATGGCCCTTCCAAACAACCTCACAGTACATACTCTGACAACGTCATACATTATAAAGGGGAGATCGAAGGTGTTGTATTGCCCTTACAACCTCACAGTACATACTCTGACTACTTCCATACATTATAAAGGGGAGATCGAAGGTGTTGTATTGCCCTTACAACCTCACAGTACATACTCTGACTACTTCCATACATTATAAAGGGGAGATCGAAGGTGTTGTATTGCCCTTACAACCGGCTCTTGAAGTGGTGTAAAATGATAACACTGTGAGAAGTGTGCCGAGAAAAGTAAAGTGCATTCACAAGTGAATTCACAACTAAGTGGCTGATTGTGACAAACTGAAAGGCCACCCATATTAAATGGCCACACAAGATACAGTTTCACTATCATTCTAAAATCTAGTTGCATGGGCTATGCAATAATTATGCAATAATTACTTCTCTCATTACCAGGGGCACCCTTCATCAGCCGCTAGCAACCATCTGCTCACCAGTGTTCGCAGTGAACTGGATCGCTCCATTAGCAAACATCTCGCCTCCAGTAAGTTTTGCTGCATCTCACGTAAACATGTGTGTGATAATATGTATGTACCTACACTAAGTACACGGGTACCACATTCAACATACATTATGAGCATTAGCACACTTAGCCACCTGCCCTCTCCTGTTGTGTACCTAGCTATGCATCATAATAATGCCTCTGAGCATTGTCCCTCAACATGAGAGGATGTTCCCCAATGTACTAGCTACAGAGGTTGTGTATTACATCTTGTACGTCCATCTAGCCAACGTTACGCCGTGCGGTGGCTGTGTAATTCAGGTGTGTCTGTCGATAATAGAACGGACTATGCAGGGCAGGGCACGCCAGCTACCCTAATTCAAGGTCGGTAACTGAGTAAAGGCAAGAATATGGGCTCTTGATGAATCGCACCCAACCCATATGGTTCAGGCATAGATGTGGAGGTAGCTATTGCATCAAGGAATACTTGGTCCCACAGGCTCAAATGAAAATCCTCAAGTGTGCTATATATAGGTGGTGATACCTATTGCATCAGAGAGAAGGAGGCGTGTGACAGACACCACTAGTCAGCCAGTAAAGATGGGGGTCAGACATTGTAGCAGACAGACAGGAAATTCACAGGGGTCAGGCACGAATTGCTGCATTCTTGAACAGATCAAAAGGTCGTAACTATGGACTGCACTGAATAGCAAAAAAAACCTGTTATATTCGCATTCATAAGAGGTCAAGACAAGTAACAGACATGAGCAGAAAAAGAGAACAGGCAAATTCCCATGTACCACACAAAAGGCTGTGGTGGGGCAAAAATCTGACAAGTACAGAGTTTCTTGTTCCTTTGGTCTTTGATGTGAATAGGAACTGGTGTTAATGAGTGAAGTTGGGTGTACCATGAACAAGATGGTTGATGGCTTGTGGGCTGTAGTCTACAACTGACCCGTGGTTGGTCCACTCTGTGAGTAGCCACAGGGCATGAGTAGGCACAGTAGCAGTCAGAAAGTCTAGCAGTCCCACCACAGGGGGCGGTGATGAGGTCCAAATACGGAAACCACAGAGAGTAAAGGGGAAGTTAATGAGTCAGGTCAAGCTAGGGCCCTCTGTAAAAGACATGACTTCTCAAAAAATAGCCCTGAAAAAGCTGTAAGTAGTAAGTGCTGCCACAGGCCAGAAAAGCATACACTTTTCATGGCTTTTACCAGAGAACTCTTACTCGGTGGTCAGATTATTGCAAAACAACTACCTGCCAGGTGGGTGTCTAATCACAGTGGACTCCCACTGGAAAGTTCAGACTATTGGGCGACTTAAAAAAATTCAGAGAACCCAAGGAGCTATGATACCATGTATCACCCTCACTCCCTCGAGCCACTAGGGACTGATCTGCTATTAGAATACTATCCCAAATATGTAAAGAATCTCTCCCACCGTTTCTATACATAGCCTGCAGCCAAGTGAGAGCCATAGGGAAGTTCAGTCAGGCCAGAAACCTCTGCAGTCATGCCTTACTTTCCCACACCATGCACACACACACACTGCTCTGTACACAGTGGAACCTTGCATGAATAAGGGGACTACGGGAGTGTCAGCTTTATTCCGAGGGAGTGTCCATTATCTATTGTTTCTGGTAGGGACCATGTAACCTCTCTGGTTGGTGGCACACCTGAAGCCACATCACCGCCTGATGAAATCTCATCGTATTTCTGTTCCACACATGTATATACCTGCAGGTGGCAGAGTGCCAGCTACAGTTCGTGCCTCAAGGTCCAGTGGTGAGGGACGCGCACTCCCGACAAGGTCACACCTGGACTCCATTAGAAGAAACTACCACATCTAACACTACACAACACCCTCTTCACCATACACACGTCTTATAGCTTATGTACCCGCATTTGCTGCATCAATGTACAGGGCGAATTTCAATAAAATATCCATTGGAATTTTTAAAATAAAGTGATAAGGATGGGAAGTATGACATTTCTAGAGAGAAGAGAGGGAGAAAGATGGACACAATCTTCAAGCCCAAGTCCAGCACTACCAGAGTCTTGATGGGTATACAGCTGGTCTGGGGCCAACAGTCAATTCTACAGCACAGTTCTCCACGTGTTATCTTCCTATGATGGTCCCGACGACCACCGCAGCTCCGAGGCCCAGAGCCGTCACTAATAGACTGGCCTTCGTGTTGTAGTCGGATTTGCAATCTTCCACTGCAGTTCCCGCAGCCGGCTTCACTTGCTTTAGGTTTGTACCGTAAAGGACACCCGACTGTGTGAGGGGGGAGGAGGGGGAGGGGATGGGAACAGTCAGTATTCAGTGTTTGAATGAGTTATTCACAAGGATAGAACTATTCACAAGGATAGAACTATTCAACTACATTCAAATGAGCACACAGCAAGGGGCTGGCTCCACCAAGACCCTCTCTGTACAAGAACTACATGGATACCAGATTTTCTAGCTGATAAAGCTCCCAGGTTGCAACCAGCTGCAACAGCTGGCGGGTGTCACTTTCAAAATGGCCGCCTTCACTGGCCTAAAAACGAAGGTTTTGCTGTTTGTGCAGTTTGAAAAACGGGGCGGAGCGACTGGAATAGATTGGCTCTGGTTGACCCATTTTCTAGCTAGCTAGCGAGCAGAACTTACAAAGCCGCCGCGTTCCACGACCCAGGGTACTGCGTTCTCTCTCAGAAAGGCAGTTAGCCATCCAATGACGCTGTCGATCTTCTCGCTCTCTTTGCCTTCTTCGTCGCAAATCCTCTTGCACAGGTAGTAAGCCGCCACGAAGAGGGACACTAACCGTCCCCAGTTCTGCGGCTCTTCCCAGATTGTCGCTAGCGCTTCTCTCACGTTGGAGTAAAGATGCTCGTCGCCGACGTCCACCTTCATGCAGACTTGCTCTATCTCCACTCCGTGCTGGTTCATAATGTACTGGCAGCCGTAGACGATTTGCATTCTTGCTTGCTGGAAGGGCGGCTCGTGAAGACATCGTACCGCGTTCGTTTCCACTTCTTTCAGCTGACCGGGGAGAACTCCCGTGTAGCCGTTCACCGGCATCCCTTTCTCCTTCAGTAGGTACTCTACCACGTCCCTGGCGAGGAACTCTGCCTGTACTACGGCTGGGTCGTCGCTCATTCTTCTCCCTCCTGCCAGTGGGCTCGCTGCTGTTGCCGTTCGCTTGTTCAGTTTCGGCGACGCTCGCTGACGATGCTTACGCACAGAACGGGGCGAGTGGGTGAGGGCGCAATAAGCCAATGACTTGCCGGCCATAAAAATTTTTCGCAGTTGGTTGTTGGAGATCACTCTTCAAGGGCCTAAATAGTAAATACGACACCTGCTATAGCTCGTTTCCTGGCGGCCGCGCGCGCCAGGCCGGACGGAGTCTCGTACGCATGCGCATAAAAAATAAGGTATGCTGTAATACACAATGGTATATACAGTTTATGCTGCACTGCAGCCGTGGCTGTGCATCCAGACAGCAGTATTGACGAAGCAGTCAGCATCACAATGTACAGACGATATGGGGTGGCACTCTCCTGGGTAGATATGTAGTCTGGATAGAGAGAGAAAGAGATGGGGGAAGTATACACTGATGTCATGAGTGGCAATGGCAAAGGTGACCTTTTGTTAACTACTCACCTTTTGGCTCTCAATAACAAGCAAACCACAATAATATGCACCTCACCACACTCCACATCATGTGTACATCACAATGTCCACTGGACCACACAATTTAGACTGTCACTCCTGTTATTTCCACTAATCTACTGCTGGGGATATTTCAGGAGTACTATCTACACTTCTTCAGAGAACTAATGGCCCATGACTGTGAAAAAAGTTGCCTATAGAAAATACTAAAAAACCAACAAAAACATGTAGATGGGTGTGGCAACTGGTCACGTGAGTGGGCGTGGTCTACCTGGTGTCCTTGCCCATTGCCTTGAGGGTGTGGTAGAGAAACTGTCCCTGAGAGGGAGGGCACCTTCTGTCGTCTGCCCCAAGCAAAACAAGGACTCCTGCCTTTATCTGTTGGGAGAGAGTGAGGGGAGAAGGTGGAGAGGGAGAGGGAGAGGGAGGGAGAAAAAGGAGGGTATCTATAAAAGAGATGGCATTACTTGTTGTTTGTGCTGGGACCTACAGTTTCAAGAAGAAACATTGAAAGGACTGAGTGTTTGTGTGTGTGCTGTCAGGAAAGCCACAATTCGGATCATACGTAATTGGGGGAAATTTTTCTAATTCCCCAACTATAGGGGAAAATATTTCCATGTATCCCCCCCTGCTTATTGCAGTTGAGGTTAGAAAAACTGTTTGTCAATTTGGGAAAATGCAAACATCAGGATTTTAGACATGATATTTCAGTAGAGTGAGCTCAAGGAAATGTGCTGCATCATCATCTCCACAGACATTGCACCCAATGCAGAAAGTTCATGTCATCCCACACTGAAAGTAAGGTATCCTATGAATAAGTCCTAGTCCTATCCCAGTGTCAAATAAAGACTGACGCAATTCTTCATGAAGAATCAATGTCTTACACCGATGAACAGTATTGTTAGGTTTAATGAATAACTTTGACTCATCGATGAATGCATTCTTCTAGGAACTTGGCTTCAGCCACCAGCAGCAGACAAGCATGTGGACAAGGGTTTTCTGTCGCCAATTCAGCCAGGTACACACACACTGTCGCCAGTGAATGGGCGGCTTGTCCCCCGGACTACTGTATGTGCTACTGTATGTACTACTGTATGTATCTGTATGTCCCCAGTAGCCACAACATATCAAGGAGGAATGCTAACAGGGTACGCCAGCTCACCCCACCTGCGCCAGGCAAAGGGGACTAGCCAACACTACCTCAATCGCCCGGAACAGTTTGCATACCTTCACCACAACGGACGGAACCCCCTTCACAGGGACGGACCTCGTCCACATTCCATACTACATACATTCCCGACCCGTCTCCATTCCATGCAGAACCGACAATCTACATAATAAGGGCTGAAAATCATTCTACAATCTGAAATAGAGACTTTTCTCACACAACAAAGTTGCGTAATGTACGTTGGCCTAAGGGACCTCCCCTAGCAAGCTCTGGGTTTGCTAGGTTACCACAGCAACAGACAGGCAGTGGAGTGCATGCTAGCATGCTGTGACTGGGTCCGAAAACACCAGCTGCATTCAGGGCTGGTACACAGCTGATCACAACTACAACTTGTTTACTGCGGACTGCTTGGCAAAATTTGAAATTCAAATAATGTTGTCATTACACTTTCACACAAACACATGCTCAGGATCCGATATCCCTCTCTCTCTCTTTTTTATCTCCTCCCACTTCTCTTGCGCAATCTCTTACCCCCCCACAGTCTCGACCAGTAGTCTAGAAATATTCAAACTATGTACAGTACCAGCAGTTAATACTATGAATAATCAAAGAGTTGGGGTGGTGAATTATATTCAGTGCTATCCCATTAAAACCCGTGACAGTGGCTTCTCATTATACGCACCATTCACGGTCATTGTCCGAACGGACAGCGATACAAAAAGGGGCCACACAAGGCCAAGGCATAAAGGTACGTACATTATATACTCCAACACGACACAAAGAGAATGACTGTATGCGGCTTCACTCTATAGGCTTCTCAGTACATTGTCCCTGTAAGGCTGTTGTAAAGTGGTACATGTGATAAAAAGCTGAGCCGATATCAAACTACAAGAGATACACACGTAGACATCTACTGCCTTAGAACAACAACGTTGTATACTTAACATTACGAACAAACGCTCGCAACAGGACCTTATTAGGAATTGCTACCCTACGTCTACCCCTGTTGTTACAAACAATAAGTTCGAAAATGATACATGTTGACTGGCGGAGTCTCACACAAACAACAACAAACATCACAAACATTTTACGCTGCGGGCACAATCAACAGGTAAAATGACACAAACAATTGCCTCCAACATTTTGCATACCTAACCTATACATAGTAAATTTGAAAAATGGTGAGTTTTCGCATCATTTCTCCACAAACTACATACATACTCGACATACAAGCAAACACGTTTCCTTGTCCTATAGGACAGGGTATTGGGGTGTGTCCTGATTGGTGTTCAGGTTCAGGACGGACCTTGTGAGCGTGGACGATGGGAGAGTGACGAAGCAGTTTGGCAACATCCTCGTGATTGGGGGGCGTGGCAGGGTCAAAGGTCACTCCACACTCGACGTACGTCCAGTCCGGGATGTCGGATGTGACCCTCATCCCTGATGGAGAGAGGAAGAGAGGGAAATGGAGAAGAGAGAAAGGGTGAGAGATGGCAAAGAGAAAGGTCACATTTTCTCCTAGTAGGGGCAACCCACCTGCCATATCAACCACTGGATTCCTCACTGAGGCAGCTTTGTAGAAATCCTGCAAACCACAACACAAAAACACACACACACAAGAAGTCAGAGTTTGCTATACCGCACACCATGCAAGAACTTCAGAATGACTTTAGAACGATTTCGAAGACTAAACTTTCCCCAGAGCATCGTATTTTGAGGGTGTAAGAGTGCCTTAAAAACCAAATGCTCCCTCTTCCTATTCCTCCTCCAGCGAGAGAAGTTCTGGGGGCGGGGCGGGGTGGGGCAATGGAGGACTCACAGGGAACTGAGCGACGAGATGAAGAGAGAGGAAACCGCCGTGAGATCCTCCCAACACACACACCCTCTCCCCATCCACCTCTCCTCCCACTCACCACTGCCTCTGCTGCCCTCTGGGGGAGAGAGGATGACGTCGTGGATGAAAACAAAGACACTATGTTAATGTATACATACAGATCCATCCAAGTAAAATGATTAGGTGGCCTTTCTTTTGTCCAACACATGAGATTATAGTGTGCAGTTCATTCATTATAATATTAGAGTGCAGAATATTCCCAATAGGTTAACAGTATCTAAAGCTGTTTTATTGTTCATAGTCTCCTGGGACAATCGGATTGTTCCAACAATGGTGTCTATAGCCATGAATATCATGCTCCACCAACATCGCTATCATTACACGATGCTAAATATATGAACACCCAATGAGGACTGTAGGCCAGTGAAGGAGAGACTATTTTTATAAACCATGGTCACCTCTGAGCTAGCAGTGTACGAAAACTGTCCTTTCCTAGAAATAATTATGATCCTACGGTTGTGTGGGAAAAATGCTATGCAGCTCACACACAAGTGCTGTATTGTAAATACTACAATACAGCCACACGAGGTAACACATGTCGTGACTATAAACAATACAGATGATGTACTAACAACAATATGCAACCAAAACATATATATACGCCCTCTTCTTGAGAGCAACAAGTATTCTTGAGAAACAATCCCTCAAAAAACCCACTGCATTCTTTTCTAAAACTCCCTTCATATTATCCCCACTCATATTGCAGCAGAAATGGTGATGACTCTGAGAAATGAGGCGAAAGGATGACGTGAACTGAAAATGAAGCTCAAACCCCGAAGTGAAGGGGATGTTGTTGATGGTGTACACTCGGGAACACCGGAAAAAGAATGTTTTTTTCTTGTAGTTTGTACACTAACGCCTCTTGGAAAGGCTTTAGCAGCAACGCAGGTAAACTACCGTACTGCTGTGACAACACCACGACGGGTAACCACGGCGACCATGTAAATGACATGTGTACAGGTATGTACAAGTCTTAGTAAAAAACCCTCGTACCAAAATACATTTGTTTGTCTTCTGTTACGAGAACCTTTCGTTTCAATACGCGAGGGAACACTGATAAATACATGGTCTTATAAGGCAGTCAGTACGACGGGAGACAACCCAACGTTTTGGTACCAAATGTGAATTTCACGATTGCTTTTTCCTCGAGATTGCTGGTCCCACAACACAAATGTCTGTGATAATATATCACAGAGAAGACATTCACAGATGGCTTATGAACTGTGAAACTAGTCTCCATTGGAACTCTCCCACAATCAAGTATATAGTAGCTACAGGGCACAGGGAGTGCGATGAGACATGAATTATTATAATACCTGCACATCATCGACATCTTGTCGACCAATCTTCCCCGGTAGACAGTCTATGCTGTCCTGCCCATACCCTGTGGAGCCACGGTAGTTTACTGGACGAGGGAGGAGGGGGACAAGAGGGAGAACAAGAGGAGAAAGGGGAGGAGGTAGATGAAGTGAAAGATCACTGACATCATAAGGTCACACCAAACACAATGCCACATTGTATTATGTGACACGGAGATACGCACGTGTCAACGGTAAAATTCATGGCTCGTGCCCACATTTAGAACTATGTCGCGACTAGATCCAAATATAGCTACCACATCATAGGGAACAGGCCACAGTGCGTGACCAGTAACATCACACATGAAGGCATGGGATAGGCACATGTTGTTATGGGAGAGAACGCTCCTCTCATTACAGGACCTGCTGACAGTATCCTGTACACCATGTTGGCTCCCATGACAACATGGAATCAGCCAGCCTTACCCACATCCTCTTATCCCTACCCTTTCATTACAGTGGAACCACTGGAAAAGGACCCTCTGAATAAAGGACACTTGGTTCTGCTCCATACTAATACATTGGTGATACCACTGAATAAAGGACACCTCTCTATAAAGGACACTTGGTTCTGCTCCATACTAATACATTGGTGACACCTCTGAATAAAGGACACCTCTCTATAAAGGACACTTGGTTCTCCTCCATACTAATACATTGGTGACACCACTGAATAAAGGACACCTCTCTATAAAGGACACTTGGTTCTGCCCCCATACTAATACATTGGTGACACCTCTGAAAAGTGAACATGTAACTACTACTTGTCTCCCTATGGTGCTCATTTACCCAATAGGACGGCAGTTCCAAGAGAAGCCAGACAAACAGGCCAAACGAGAAAGTCAGCCGGTATCACTCCATGGGGACCACCTGTACATTACGTAATCATTACATCATAGATAATTCCAACACCAACCGTGAGGGTATACGGCCAGAGGAGGCTTGGTTGGTGAGGGGCGTGGCTTCACAAGTATGGCTTCATACGGTACTGAGCCAGGATCTGGAGTGAAGCTCAGGACTTTCCATGTCACACCTTCCGTTACCATGGAGACTTGGGGCGGAGCTGAAGGAAAAACACGTAATTTTCTTGCCGACTCAGCAATGATGTCACCTCACATATTTCAGTCCACGTGACGTCGTGTGACATGCCGGACGAGACCACACCCACCATCTGCATCACGTGGAAAAGGGATCTGGTCATTTCTTAGTGTGGGTGGAGAGGCTGGGTACGGGTCTAGAGATTGTGGTTGCTCACCAGTCGTGGAGTCTGAGAGAGACTGGCATGCTGAGCAACTATCAGGTCATGTGACACACACATGACTGACCACGCCCCCTCCTTGTTGCTAACACCCCTCACTTCTCCACTCCCCACATCAACTTGCACCACTCTCTGCACAGTATTAAACACCATCAATTGACGGGTCGACCAATTTCAGGATGGGATGGCTGACTCACAATCTGGCTGCCCCAGTTTTCGCTGCAGAAGATTGTCTTTCCAGCGTCGTCCCAGCACCGTTCCGGAAGCCACGTGGAATAGAACCCAGGAAACCCTCCCACTGAGCAGATGATGTAACAATAGAGAGATAGTGGCAAAAGATAGCTCTCAATCTGTACTGATAGAGTTAGGAAGCCACGTGGAATAGAACCCAGGAAACCCTCCCACTGAGCAGATGATGTAACAATAGAGAGATAGTGGCAAAAGATAGAGTTAGCATTTTCCGCGTTGCATAATTGCTAAATATTACTTTTGACTTTGTGTGATCATATGGATGAAGTACAAGTGCTTTTCATTGGGTCTGTCTGTGTGTCTGTCTGTCTAGTACAAGCAACTAAATGTACATTTCCAGGTCATGATGATAATCACAAATTCTTGTCGGCATTGAAATTCGGGTTAAGTCATCTTACCAGTAGATGATCTCTTTACAACGTCCACTACTGTCACTATCTGTTTATTGGACCAGTTGATCTGAATGAAGTGGGAGGAGGAGAAATGGGACACAGAAAGATGGAGACATGTGTGTTGAGAGGGAGGGTTGCCAACTGACCATTTTCAGAGCAGCACATGAGCGATGTGGCCCACTTCCCGGGGTCTGGAAATACACCTTCAGACAGAGAGAGACAGAGAAAGTGGAGGGAATAGTGGTAAATTTGGAAGTGGAGAACTCACCAGCTTGTCTCCGTGGGGACTGAACCTTGGAGAGAAGACACAGTCATCTTTACCAGTCAGAGCAGCTGGGACAGAGGGATGGAGTCATTACTTCTTAACCCCTGCACTCACTGGGATCATTAGTTCTTTAACCCTGTACTTACTGGATTTCCCAGAGCCGAGGTGCATGTGGTAGAGGGCAGATGGCCTGTTGAGACAGTAGACAAACCCCAGTTTCCTTGGTCTGTTCTCCCACCCCACACACACCACCTCTCCTCCCCCTCCTCCCTCCTCTGGGACCCACACGCCTGCCCGCTGAGGATATCACAATCACAGCATCGTACAATATGCACATTGTCCACACAACAACTCCATAATCCATAACACACAGTTAAGCTACTAACATTGTTGGCATACAAAGATAGACCATATTATACATACACTGTCATGTATTATATGCTTAAAACTCACAATGCGTAATATGCCAACATAATACATTGAATCTGCTCATATTTAGCAATAATTGACAGTTAAAAAGAGTGCCCGCAGGTCATTAGAACCTCACCAGACACGTCATCCCCGATCTCCACCACCTCACACTCCTCACTCCTCACACTCATCACCACGACGACTGGGTCAACCACTGAGGTCAGCTGCTCGCCCCAGTCGTCCTCGGCAACATACTCTGCACCCTGTGCAACAGGTCAACTGATGATGTCATCATACATAAGAGCATATGAAACATACCTGAACTGGTGCCTTTTCATCTTCAGATTTTGCTGAAAAACAGAGAAACGAGAAAGATAACTGCCAGCAGAGAGTGTGCAGGGAGAGGGAGGGAAAGGAGGAGGAAGGAGGGAGGAAGATAACCTGGAGTCTTCTTGAAGAATGAGCTACGTTTCGGTTTTTCTCTCTCGGCGATGAAGAGCAGTTTCTGCCCGTTGGCTGAGAGATGGAACGACCCAAAGTGAGCTGGAGAGGACGGGAAGGAGAGAGGAAGTACAACACCGGTCGTCCTGCCAACTCACTGTCTTCATGGATCTTCCCGTGTTTCTTCAGGTCAGCCACTGCCACTGTCTTCTCCAGACCTTCACCACTCCATACCTACATACATAAACAGTGTACATGCACACACGAAGATGGTGGGCCTGCAACGGAATAGTGTCAACATAGTGTGTCCGAAATTGAATCATACAAACATTCTGTATTAGTACAGTGGACAATGTATAAATTTCACCTCAATGTACTGCTGTGACTCATCTCCTGGTTTGCCATTAGCTGGCTTCTCCTTCACCAGCACTGCTCTCATTCCAGACGGGGGGGCGTGGCTCACCTTTATCCTGGAATGTGGGTAATGATTAGCTAGCCCCCTACTGCACTGCGACTCACTGGTTGCTAGTGTCCGACTGAAACATGGAGGAGGCAAGCTTCTTGATTCTTCCTCCGTCTTTCTCCAGAAAGAAAGAGCGAGTGAACGCCACCTTCTTCCCTCTCTCCAGTTCCCGCTGATTCCATTTGGAGAGCACCTCGTACTTTCCTTCGTCTCTATGGCTGAACACGGCGGCAGAGGAGAGGAGAGGGATGCGGGCGCACTCTCTGAACACCTCCACCGCTCTTTTCGTGTAGTCGTCCATAGCTATGTAGCTCTGCAATACCCGTATATAGCAATTTTCAACAACCCACGTGTTGGGGTCAAAGTTCGTGACGCCTTTTCTAATTGTACGCGGAAGAGGGCGGGGCTTAGAATTTGTGCGAAAAATTGAAAATCTTGACATCCACACGACGGTCGCTCGCTAGTCTGAGCCCGAGAATGGAGGCGTCTCTGGAGTCTCAGATGAACGAAATGTGAGGCTAGCCACGCACACACACATGCCATGGATTAGTACTTTATGATTCCCTTTCTTGCAGAATGTCGCAGCCTGGAGTTACGGGGGTCCTGTGTGCAGACGAGCAAGGTCTCGCCCTCTCAGGTATACAATAGACCTGCTCTCACCTTAGCTAGATATCTCTCCTTCCTTGCTGAGTAAAGATATTTACCCGGAAGAGAAAGGACCAAGATTACAATTAGGCTTCTCTGTTGTCCTATGTATATACCGGAATTCGCTACCTACCAGTCTTTCTCCCTCCTCTCTTCCTCTTCCTGCCCCCTCCACATGTAGCTCAGGGAACTCTGACCCCGCACAGTGCAGGGCTGGTCTCCGTGGTGACAGAGAAGGCATGCCAGCTGCGACACGGAACCGAACCTGACGAAAAACCTGTGGTTGTCATGGAGTTTGACACGGGGTCAGTCAGACCACGCCTACTGCCCCGCCCCTCTAACATCTCTCTATTATATTATGCAGGAATGTTCTGATTCGCTCTCATAATAACTCGACTCTTGCTGTGCATAAAGTCTGAGCAGCTGTCCTACTCTATGTTCAGTCTTTGTGTGTGTATGTGTGTGTGTGTTCTTGTATTGATGCTTTGATGACAAGTCAAAGAGGCAGGTTATATGTTGGAGATGGTTTTCATTCACATAACATGTGTATACAAACTGGGTGTTGATAAAACATAAATTGTACAGAACTTGGATGTAGCAACAGGCAAAGGTAATGAACTATGATTGAGAGTCAGCAAGACTTTCTTCAATAGAAGAAGAGATGTCTAGTTCAGGATCAGATGAGGAGGAGGGAGAGGAGGAGGAGGATGGGAGGGGGTATGAACTAGGGTTGAGAAGCCAGGAGTCAGAGAAAGTGTGAGAATCGGGACCTAGTGTGTCAGGAAGGGAACACCCAGTGTAGCCGCCATTGTCTACTGCATACTGTACCAGCACTCGCCAGTATGGGTCCTAGAAATAGAGAATGGTACAGTAGTGAGGAGGAAGTAGTGGAGAGACAAACAAAACCTGGCAGAGGAGGTGTGGGTTGCCGACGACGACCAATAGGGCCTTGGCTCTGCTGATGGCGACATTAAACCTCTTGGGGTTGCCAAGGAAACCGATGTGGTGTTTTAGATCAGAGGTCAGAAGCTTGAGAGTGGAACGAACCTGAATGATGATAAATAGAGAGAGAATTTGGCTCACCAAAACGCATTGTATTAAGTGAATGGCCCGAAATATCAAAAGTTTGTAGCAAGATAGGGAGAATAGAAAAAAAAAGACAGAAGTTTGGAGCAACATGAGGATAAAGATGAAATGTTGTCCCTTTTTCAGAGGTTTCCCTGTTGTTGACTACATCCACGTCATCATGTATGTCTCACAGTAGATATGATGACGACCAGTCTCTCTTGACCTGAAATTCCTCCACACTACCCACCTTGACTCCCTCCACTCCCACCCTCCCCAGGAACCAGCGGATCCTCTCCACCTGAACAGGTCACGTGACAGTCACATGACCTCACATGATGCAAGTGGACTGACCTGTTTCCTGTAGGGAGAGATGATTCCAATGTCAGAGAGTTTCGGAGCGAACGTTGAGTTGTCGATCACAGACTGGACATGGGACACCACCTGTAGTGACAGAGATGGTGTGGTTGCCTTCAGAGACTAACGTTGGAAACTCCAGCCTAAGTTGATCAATCCCTCAGCTAGCTGTATATATAATACATGTACACCTTGTTTTGTGTGCACTTTTGGACTGCGAGTATCACATACAGTATAATATAGTGGCTAATTTCCTATGACTATTGGTTTGTGCAACCTATATATATATTTCGGCTCTTCGCCTGTAATATTGCACGTGCTTTTAGCATCAATTACGCTCAGTCTGATTAGTATAAGACACCTCTGAACAATCGGTTTCCTTGACAAACTGGATATATACATGTGTGGTGGACCCACTACTGCGTACCTCAATAATCTCCACGGGGTTGAACCAAGATGGACTGTTACCCTCCCTCATGTCTTCTCCCATCACCCCGTGGAACAGCAGGGGAAACCCCTTCGTGGGGAGTCCCTCCCAATCACACATTAACGAGGTGACACTGGGGTCGGCCCGTGGTTCAAGCTCTCCGTGGTAGAAGGTATCGGAATAGAGATTTAGAATACTGGAATGAGACCGGTAGTTATCCACCAATTTGGTCACCTAGCAACAACACAATCATAATCACCAATCATACGGTACCCCTGAAGGAGACCCCGCCCACTATGAAGAGGCCACACCCACCATGAGAGGGTCGTAAGAGCCGTGATCAGAGTACTTGGCTGGGTCCCTGAGGTAAGGTCCTCGTGACATGACCCTCTCCATGAGAGAGAGGGAGAGACCGAGACTGTTGGCATGGTGTGAGGTGAGGACGGGGCCTAATTGGTGGGGGTCTCCCGCCAGGACCAGCTGGTGTGGGAGAGAGCAAAGCAGCAACAAAAGATGAGGGAGGTGAGGAAGGGGGTATGAATACCTGTCCGGTTGTGTTTGAGAGAAGAGTGGCGGAGAGGAGGGCCTCGGGCTCCGTGGCCTGCCCTGCCTCGTCCACAATGACGTGGGAGAAATGGCCGACCGGCAGACCCAGGGAATGGAGGAAACCTGCCGTCATACATGTGCTCACCACCACTCTACACCTGTGACCCCACCACAAGGAGGGAGGGACAGATCGATGATTGTCAACATCAACCATACTATATACACCACAATTGGCACAAAAGGTACACCAAAGTAAACAAATTACTGTTTGATATTTAGGATTTGTTAACTGCATAGGAAAAGGAATCAAACAAAAACCTAGGTTGATCTACACATGAAACGAATGCCTAGAACACTAAGGTTACAGCTGAACATCTGACCTGGCTGCAATGTGGGCATTGTCAGTGTCCTCACAGAAGGCAGCGATGGAGGGAGGAGGTTCTGCCCTCTGGATGGCATTCAGTCGCACTATCTCTCCTTCTCCTAGCAGACCACTGCACAACAGTCTCTCCATCTGGGAGGGAGGGAGGGAGGGACTACAGTAATCAGCATACAGTGCTGAGAGAGGGGAAGAGAGGGGAACACAGCAGAAGAGAGGGGAAGACAGCAGAAGAGAGGGGAAGACAGCAGAAGAGAGGGGAAGAGGGACTCACAATGAGATCAGCTGCACTGTTTGAAGGAGCACACGCCAAAACTCGACTGGCTCTGCTTCTCTGGTGGATCTAACCAAGTCACATGATAGTCACATGATCCTCGATGACATCATCACCAGCTCACCTGCAGTATTGCCTCGACTAGGGTCACAGTTTTCCCCGTGCCAGGAGGACCAAACACCACGTAGGGTGTTGGTCTGTTCTGGGCTGCCAGAATCCTCCTCACTGCCGACTGCTGACGCCGGTTCAGGACCGGGTTATAGAACTGGCACGGAACCGAGACCCCACCCACGTTGTCGTGGTTACAGTCTGAAGACGACGGTAGCTTTATTAGCGGCTGTTTGGGTGTTTGTTTCCCTGGAAACAAGACTACAGAAAGAAGGTAGCGTCACAACAATCCACATTCACACGAAAATCTTGAGTGAGAAAAAAACTTTTAACTGCTGTGGTGCGACTCAGTTCTGTTTTCTTCCTCCAGTAGTGGCTGACCTTTTGAGCCCAGTAAGTGGGCTATCTCCACTGAGTGGTGCATTCTCCTGAACGAGGTTCTGAGGAGAGAGGGTCACATGACATAGGACCTGGATCACATGACTATCACCTGCTGAACTGGAAGATGATGTCATAGTTATGAAGAAACGAGTTCTGGTGGAGCTCCTGTGCAAACTTCAGCAGAACGTAGTCCTTCCCAATCTGACAGTGAACGAAAAATAATTCCACATACCTCGAGGCTCTTCTTGGGAGAAAGGTTAAAAATAATCATATCCCGCGCCTTAAAATTTGCAATATTATTAACGCATACGTCCAAGTTTCAAGTGCCCTTTACCTCACTGAATAATATTTCAACATCAACATTGTTTTTGCACACGAGATTACCTCGTGAATGAAGCCTTCCCAGTACCTCCCCCCTCCCCTCTCCTCCTCCTCCTCCTCCTCTTGTATCGCCACGGTCGCCACGACGCGGTCACCCAGCAGGAGAGACGGTCTCCCCTCAGCTAGTCCAGGGACCTCCAGACCCAGGTACTGCCCTCTCGGCCTCAGAGGAACACCTGTTTCAGATACTTTGCTAATAATGTATTTCTGCACTCAGGCGTCTTACTGCACGTTGTTTTCTTGAGATGGTACGTAAAGGCTAAATTTAGAAATGTTACTAAATATAGAAGAGCCCAGTACAAGAATGCAATTAAGTTTAAGTCTTCAGTTTTCACTACTAACAGTTTCTGAATTACACTGCCAGATTCTCTTTGTTGATACAATAGATGGTGGAACACTTTATGGAAGGGAAATCTCATTTTTGCCTGTCAAATTTAACAAAATATTTCACAAGGAAGACTCTGATAGCTGGGTCTTTACTGCGCCCTTTCCTCCCACAGACACCACAGACACCACAGTACAGTATTATCAGTGAGACTCACGGAAGAGGTCAAAGTTCCTCATGTCCACGTCTCGCTGTATTTCCTCGAGATGAGGAGAGTGCTGAATCGGGAGTAGTAGTTCTTCATGCACAGGGGCTGCAGATCAGAGCAACATCCATCAGAAAATGCCATACACGTCACCAAAAAACCACTATTAAACTGTCAAATATTAACAGGCAGTACTTGCGGTCTCGAGGCTAGATTTTAAAATTTCACAAAATCTCAGACCTGTGTCAGCTGAGGTCGAAGGTTAAGAATGTCCCTCTGGTGCCCCTCCCACACTCCCTCGGCCAGATCCTCAGGTACAGCGTAGGCTTTCAGTCTGTGTGGCAGTCTCACCAGCTTTGGCCTGTACGAAAAATCCCTGACATTAGCTGCATGACATCATTATTACATCATTGCTATTGCACACTGACCGATGAGGTTTCTCGCCAGGCACAATGCCACAGAGACCGTTTCTCGGTTGGCCCCGCCCACTCCCTCCTCCTCTCACTCTCGTGTAGGCCGATGCCGGCTTTAGGGAGTCGAGATCAGAGCTGGTGACCTTCGACCTCAACTGGCGCGCTATCCTCACACCTCCGACGAAAGAGAAGAGGAGAAGGCATGAAATCTGGCCCAGAGACCTGCAGGACAAGAATATTACATCATCTCATTTCTTACTCGTCATCACTGGCAAACACTGCAGAAGACTATTTGCTTTCGTGATGTGAGAACTTTAATTGAAAAACACTTCAAAATCCAGTTTCATGCATTAGAGGTTCACGAGCCACGCGACAAACGTGGACCAATGAATGTTGACATACACTCACTTTGCTCTGATGGCTACAGTCACACCGAGACTCCGCCCACTGGTGATATGGACATGGGGAGTGGAGACCACACCCACTTCTGCCACTCCCTCTTCTCCCTGTGACTGCCGACAGCTGGAGTTCTTCACTGCCTCCTCACTACTATCACACATCTCCCCAGACTCCCCATGTCACCAGTGTCACCATTCTCACCCCCTCCTCTGTGCAAGTGGTTGCAGGAACACCAGAGTGAAGGAGGGAGAGAGACGGAAATCTGAGGGTCATGTGGGAGGGGCTTCACCGACAACAAACAGTGGTCATGTGACCTCGTGTTCCTGTCACATGACCAATAGAAGAGAGATGTTAAAGTATATAATGCAGTTTTAAAAGTGTAGCACAATTTTTCAAAACGAGGCGAATCATACATAATACGCATGAGAATGAATCACCAACTACATACTTTACCATCACAACTAATAATCATTCCTAGCATAATAGCTTTTTAACTGTCTTTTCCCCCACCCACACACTCAATACACTAAGACTGTGCCACATAAAGTATATTACAATAGTGTGTACCTGATGGATATGGTTAGAGTCTTCTGGTTTCCCCACCAGCACATCCCCAACCTCACCAACCTCACTCAACTCCAGTCCACACCTGTTCTTCAGCAGACCTTCACTGCAGGGAGGGGAGGGGAGGTTGCCACGATAAGGGCTCACATTTCTTGCAAGCACTCATCGAGTGGACTGTCTTTCCCCCTATCTCGCTCAAACTTGTACCAACTAGTAACTAATGGTTACCATGATGATGATGATGATGATGATGATGATGATGATGACGTGGGAGGAAGGGACGAAGGAGAGAGGAGAGGAAGGGAAGGAGAGTGCTGGGACGATGGGAGAGTGTGGGGACAAAACGACAGCGTAGTCATGGAAACGGCTCTCCAGCTGGCCTGATGATGTCGACACTCCACACACTTCACCTTCACCTCCTCCCCTATCCTCACTTGACTCCGCCCACACAGACCCAACGAGAAAATGATGTCATCGTCAACAAATCCATACCCACGACTCATCGAGGTAATGACACCCTCCACTTCCTTCTCTCTCAATGGACGAACAAACTCCACCTCTTCCTCCTCTCCCTCCTCGCCCAACCTCACTCCCACAGTCACCCAATCTCCTGTCTCATACCGGTACCCCGTTCCACAGTAGAGCTGGGGGTCAAAGGTCACCTCGCTGGTAGAACAGTCCACCACTGCCAGTGTGCGACTGATTTTAGATATGAATCCAATTAATGTCTGAAAGAGGGGGGGGGGAACAGATGGCAAAATTTTTGTTGTTTTTTGTTAAAAAAAGGTGCACACTCAATGACATCATCCTTTTTTTGCAACATTGGGGAATTGAATTTACCACAATTGGGCCCCATCTTGACAGAACTACAAAATTGTGATAATATTATGAGCGTTATAAAATGTAATGATTTCTGTCGTTGAGTAAAAAGTCTCACCTTCCTTTCTTCATCAGTGTCAGAGTCCCACAATTCTGTGACTTCAACTCTGGTTGCCTGCCAACAGGCGAGGGGGTGTGGTCTTTCAGCTGTCACGTGAACCAATGCTCCCACCTATCAGCTGGCTCTGAAGATTACTCACAGACACTGTGACACAAACCTGTGGAGTCCGGCCTCCCATAACCACACTCGGAGTAAAGAACACCTGTCAGGGGATCACGTGACGTCGTGTGATGCTCAAAGAAAGCAGTTGCGTGCGTTGAGCTCACCTGGTGATCTATCATTCCAGAGGTGTCGGACAGAGAGGTGATTTCTCCGGAAAAGAACCTCTTCTGAGGTTGTGGGGGAGGAGATGGTGCGCTCGGAGGCTCAGTCTTCTCCCTCTCACTTCCCTCTCCCCACACCATGGCTTTCAGCTGCTGGTACAGCCCGTACATTCTCTTCTCTCTCTCCTCCACGTGTAGTGCGTAGTGCGCATGCGCGCACTGCTGCTGCATCAGCTACGCCTCCTTTCTTTCGTGGGGCGGCTGCGTTTCTTGGAGAGATGTCGCTGCTACTGTGCGTCTTTCTCGCCCCTCTATTACAGCTGTCGGCCGGAGAGGGAGTGTGGAGCGGCCTGGTCAACTCACCCACCGAGGATTTCGACTACCAGTGCCCTAATGGTTCGGTGGTGGTTGGCCTAGCAAGTCTCTTCAGGTGAGCTGCCTGCAGAGGCGGGAGGATCTCTAACACACCGTGTCTCTTTCAGGACGGCGCAGCTTGACAGACAATGGGAGTACCAGTGTGGTGCGGGATTGGACAACCTCGCTAACGTCTCTTCCTCGTGCACTCTGCAGGTAGCTATATACATACGTAGCTGAAGCATAAAAGATAGCTTTACATGAGATACACCTAGAGAGTTCACGAGCTAGCTACAGCAGTGAAATAAACTTCATTTCGGTTTGTTTGCAGTACATTGGTGCAGTAGCCATTTTCTGCAAGTGTATTTGCTTGAGTTACTCTTGAATAAAATACCTCCATTCCCTATGTCCCTACAGCCCCCAATAGAAGCAGTAGGAGACGACATTGATTTCCTCTGCCCTGACGACGGCTACATTGGAGGATTCCTCAGCCAGTTTGTCTCCTCTGTGTCTGATCGTCTCTGGTCACCCTACTGCTGCCAGCGGCCATTTGCAGCTCTGGTGGACTGCATTAACCCCGCCTCCGGCTGGGAGAACGGTATACGAGACACTCTCAACTTCTCTGCTCCAGCCGGCCACGTCGTCGCCGGGTTCACCAGCTTCTTTTTCAACAGGTACTCGACCTGTTTGACTCGTTTGGAAACTGGTTTTTGACCACTCCACTTCATCGTTAATATTGTTGAACTAGGCAGAAACACGGGAGACACCATTCACAAGGGAATTGAAAATAGAGTTCAACTTTCAATTTTGCACTTTAATGTTCAAGTGGGACTACTATTCATAGCTGTCATACATGCACCAGGCTGTATGGTGAAAAACCTTTTTGAAATCTAAGAGTAAAAATTTGTCCTATGAAAAAATCTGTTCTGTATTCATTCTCTACAGAGATCGAAGATGGCGCTACACCACATGTGCAGTCGAAGGTATATTTTGTTTACCTGTTGCTAAGGCCATGTGCTTTTGTTTACATGTTTGCAAATCCATGACAACCATACTTTGTCATAGTCATGAATATCTGTATGGTCAAAACCACAAGGCTTAGAGTACACTACCACATCTCTATAAAGGCTATACATCAGAGAACTTAGTTAGTGGTGGTAGTAGTGATGAAGGTAATAGTGTGAAGGTGTGAGTTCTGTCTGGTTCTGGTACCAGAAATGGTGGAACCCTCCAGACCAGCAGAATGGGAATGAGCCCCACACTGCGTCTGAACCCCACCCCATTCATTATACGAAAAGAAAGAGGTTAATTTAAACCCAGGATAGTAAGAGAGGGTTTTAAATAATGAGCTACTATATCATATGTGCAGTTTTCAAAGAGGGCAATATCTTATGTGAACCCCCTTCCTAAAACTCTCTATTACTTTTCTCTCAGTAAACTGTACAGACCCTGGTACCCCAGCCAACTCCCAGAGAACTGGTGATAGCTTCCTCTTCACCGACTCCGTCTCCTACACCTGTAACCATGGCTACTACCAATCAGAAGGCCCGGAGGATGGAGTGCGGACGTGTCAACAAGATGGACTGTGGAGTGATGTTCCGCCAGTGTGTACTGGTGAGTAACACCTGTGGGGACCTAACACGGCTGAGCGGTCTGAGATAGTGTCATTTACCGCTGAAATCCACAAGACTGCTATTTTTACTGCAAGAATGTTTAATATTGGCACGTTTGAAGAATAAAAGTGCCTGGGTTCACCCTTTTCTTTGGTATTGTGGAAACTAAGTGAAAACGGTGGTTCTTTGGCCTTGTGCACATACACTATAGAGTCAACAAGATTAGCTACATACCTATATTTGGAAGGGTAGAGTCCACGAGATTTAGCTATATAGGTATGTATGATCCTACTGTACTCCAGCTACAAACCCCTCCCCTCCCCTGTCTCATCCAGCCTGCACAGCAATAGACAACTGTGAAGATGTGAGATGTACCAATTCTTCGGACCACACCTGCCACACGTGCCACTCCCACAGGGGCGAGGCCCTCGGCGAGGCCGCCTACCGCAACCTTGTCACAGAGTGTCTCCGTAAGTCTGCTCTTGCCTCTCCATCTTCACGTAACTGTGTGAATCATGTTTGGAAAATGCTCACTTTGGTTTCAAAACAGCTTACATGTGAGGTAGCAAAGAGTTAAAATGTTCAATTAAGAGAAGATATTAAAATGGTCTTTCTCTCGTTCTCCCTCCCCTCCAGCTCTCTGCTCATGGTTGCAAGGATTCTGTTACCCTGGAAGTTGCATCAATGGCCTCTCGTCCTGCAACTGCTCCTCCGGATTTGCCGGACTTGACTGCCTCAATAGTGAGTCACATGACTGTCACGTGACCTGAATCATCCCCCTCGTTCCCCCAGTCACGGTTCCCCCAGATCTCCTCTCGTGTTCCCTGACTCTCTGGACCCCCAGCCAACAGTTGGAGGTCGACTGCTTGTCCCCAGAGCCTTCTCCGTCCTTCTTCACCAACATGCTGCCACTAGAACTGCGAGCTGATTGGTCAGTCAACTTCCTTGGCCCCGCCCCTCCACCTCCGGCCTACGTAGAAGATGCAGAAGTGGGTGTGGCCTCGTCGAACATTCACACGTTTCTCTTTAGAGCAGCCAGTGAGTCTGAAAATTTTGTCTGTCTTCACCAAACTTGACTTCTTCCACCTCAGACCCCCAGGACCCAGTTTCCATGGTGACGCTACCCTGCAGTGACCCCGCCCCCTCTCCAGACTCTCCAACTGTCATGTCTGTGTGTACCTCGTTAGCTGACTCCGCCCACCTGGCCAACCACACCTTTCTCCATGGCGACACGTAAGACATGCAAGTTTGTACTTCACTAGTTTTAATCTTCCCATATTTGGCGCCAAGTGCAATTTTCTATAATAAAGTGCTTGCAAATAATTATGTTCAACGATTAATTTCACATACTCTCGAAGTGTTTGTAGCACAAAAGATGTTGATGATATTACGTGACATGTCTCTCCCCACTGCAGTTTGCTGGCAGAGACCACAGTCCTCAATGGTGGCTATCTTGACATCAGAAATCTAGACACTTCAACCACGTCTCGACACTACTACTCCGGAACCCCCACCGTGGGGGTCGTGAAATTTGTCCTGGACGTGAACCCCCCAGTCCACTGTTCCCTGACCCCCTCCTCCCCCTGCATTGTTGGGCAGAGTCTCCTGGACATAGGGCTTGGGATCACCCCGGAGCGAGAGTTGCTAGTGAGTTGGGGAGGGTGGGGAGATGAACCCGCTGGTGTCGTCAGCTACTCTGTGGACGTGTATCGAATGATTGAAGTTGGGGGGACGCTGGGGGAAACACTCCCCATGGTGACTGGGGTAGTTGTGAATGAAACAGGAGACTTGGGGTACCAGCGGTCGGCTAATTTGACAGAGGGAGCATTCTCTGTGGTGATGAGGGCTCTTGATTTGGCAGGAAATGTCCGCCGCTCTCGCCGTCTTGTTCTCATCGACTCCTCGTCCCAGCTGCTCGTCGACAACACCACCAGTCTCAGGGTGGACTCCGCAGTCCCCCAGACGGGGTTCCTCTGGGTAAATTCCACCACGACCCCCGTAATTATCAGTGGGCGTGGCCACTTCTACAACACCCACCTCCGTTACCAGAACCTGCTGGCACCGGTTGCTAACTTCACCCCTGCCATAGAGACAGACTATGATCACCCCCTGGACACGGGGCCCTACCCTCGAGCCGGTACACCCAATGCTCTCGGAGTTACGCAACTCTTCTACCAGATCACCATGGATAGAGTGGGCGGGGCCAGTCTAACCTCTGAACCCTCGGTTTTCCCCCACTCTGTGTCGGAGCTGTCTCTGGAGGGTGTGGTAGTGGAGACTGGGGAGCTGAGTGATGGAGACTCAGTCAGACTCTGGTTCCAGGCTGCGGACTATGTCGATCACACCGCCACTGACTCCGTTCTATTCCACGTGGACTCCAGCCCACCGCTGCTGGAGGACCTCTGGCTGGAATGGAACGGAGTCACGCAGCTAGCTCTGCACGGTACGGAGTCCCTCCTCGACCTGAGGATCGTGTTCACAGTCAGCGACCCCCACAGCGGGGTCCTCTCGCTCCAGTTCATGATTGGACTGGAACCGGGGACCTCAGACGTGGCGTCCGGACAGATACCAGTCCAGAGAGTGGCAGCTGTCAACTGCTCCACTCATCTCTGTGTCTGCAGTTCCCTGGAGAACTGTAGTCTCACTGACTACTCCTTCTCCCCCCTCACCTCACACTTTTCCCCCTCCTCACACCTCACACTCCACGATACCGAGTATTACATCACCGTCGTGGCAACAAACCACGCCCACCTCACCTCGTCACTCACTCACAAGATCACCACTGACATCACTCCACCCCTCACTGGTGTCGTCATGGATGCATTGCCAGGGTCACATGACCTTGATTACACAATCAATACCTCGCTGGTTGGCTGGTGGGCCGATTTCTTTGACCGTGAGACTTCCATTCTCACATTCCTGTACCACTTTGGATCGGAATGTGTTAACGAGTCTCATTTCACCTACCCACTTCCTGAAGGAAGTGTTGTCGTGGAAACGACAGATACCAGGGCGACTTGGACAGCTCTGGGTACTGGGACGTACTACGTTACCGTGGCAGCAGTAAACCACGCCCTCCAGCCCTCCCACCCTGTCTGCTCTGATGGAATAACAATCGACGAGTCGCCTCCTGTTGTCAGCAGCATCATTATCCCCGCTGCCGTGGAGACGCCAGACCTGATCTACATTTCAACTGACAGTCATATCAACATTAGTTGGAGTGCATCTGATGATGTTGGTATCCGTGGTTACCATGTTGCTGCAATCAATGAAGGGGCGTGGTCGGAAGGTCAAAGTCCAAACTTTACGTCAGCTGGGAGACTCCCATTTTTCTCTCTCGCAGACTCTGACCTCTTGAGCAATGGTAACACCTTCTACATCATCGTCAAGGCAACAGACCACGCACTGCACGAGAGCGAGCTGACCTTTGGACCCGTACGAGTCGACAGTACACCTCCTGTTGTCAGTGGCAATGTTACCGTGGAGACAAGCACGAATCATGTGACTGTCACATGGCAGAATGATAGTTTTACAGACAGTGAGAGTGGTGTACAAACCTTGGACTTCTCTCTCGGTGAGCAGAACATATGTCAGTGGTAAAAAGCATCCACGTACTCTGTCCAATGTCTGCCAATGTGTGTATTTTTCAACCTCAAGATTTTTGTAAACGTTCTTCTTGAACTCTGTGATTTGCATTCTCTCCCATCCACAGGTGACTCTGCCTATGGATCTCAGGTCCTGGACTTCTCTCCCATCTCCTCCACTCCTCTGTGTGTATCGGACCACTGTCTCTCTCTCTCCACCTCCTCCTTCCCTCTCCTCTCAGGACACACCTACCACCTCACACTACGAGCACGCAACTCAGGCCAGGGCTCGACTCCTACATAGCACACGAGGAATTCATTTCATCTACGGACCCCCCACCGAAGGGTTGTTGATTTGGACACCGTTCAGTGGTCCCTCAGAGGAGAGCATGCCGCGTCAGTCTCAGGACAGCGACACCGATCTATTCTCGATTCGATTGTTGAATGTACAGGTGGGAGGGTTTGACCACGCCACTGTGAATGTGACATTCTCGTTGAGTCTTGGTGTTCCATTCAGGCACAGACGACGTTTTAATCCCATCTCGTGGGTTGGAACGCGAGACGCGACACTCAGTACCAACCATGACCTCTGCAATCGGGGAGAGCATTATTAGCATAACTGTCGTCGACTAGCAATCGATTACGGACAAACAGTGCCTGCGTCAGATGATTCACCATTGACCTACTGCGTCTTCACCCCATAGTGATTGTATCCAGGACACCGTTGTGACGGACAACGAGGCGAGAGAGACGAGAGAGGGAGGAGACATGAGAGACATAGACTACCATATTCCCAAACGTCAGTAGGGGCGCAGTGGGTGTGTCCCCTCCCTCCTCCCCTACCTGTCTCCACATCTACTGGTGACCGTTCGCTGCAACAGAGACTCAGGAGTCCACGCACCTGACGCACTCTGGTACTGTATGAGAACGTGGGATCTAGAGAACTGGTGGCACGAGAGCAAGCGGAATGGAAACTGAGCCACGAGCTATGTGAGTGGTGTTCAGATATGCCTGTCCACCGTGTTACAACACTGCCGGGCTCAGTCTATTCCGATGGGGTCAGGGTCTCTAGACCGGCCAGTAGCGTCTCATATCATGTCACGTACACCCCGCGGACGGGATCCTGTGTTAACTCAACAGCTCCTCTGGGAGACTGGACATAGTCTGGTCCCCGTTCAGACACCCCAAGGATGGCTTAATATGGAGTGGGCAATTAGATTGGGAAGGCAATTGGAACGGGGGACCTGGATCTGGATATGAACTCCTGACTCAGTGGAGCAGTTGGGTGGAACGGTACGATACGAGACCAGTCATTCAGTCAAGTCTCAAGGTCACAGTTTACCCTGCACAGAGAAACACTGTCACTCCTGCGAGATTCTTCAACGCAGACGAGGTCTGCATTCCATGACAGCACGGAGAAGCTGCTCTGAATGTGGACGATGCGAGACCACACCCAAAGAGCTCGATACCTCGGTCGAAGCGTCTTTTGATAAGGTGAGTGTTTCGATATAGTACGACATCTCCAGACTCCGCGGGGGTAAGAGTGATACCACACACCACGAGACTGAGTACAATCTGGAGTACTCCTGAATGGGACCCCAATTGAGTAATGGAACTGGACTACACAAACTCCTCCCAATCAGTATCAGCAGCGTGGCCAGGACCTTCGTTACACCTCCTACAAACTACTCCGTATCGACCAAGCCTGCACCATTCACAAAATGCACCCCCAAGCTTGAAGTTCAGTTGTTCGTTTATTGTACAACCATAGCCCAAACTCCGTCACTATACAGACCGCCTGGAGGACGCGAGTCCGGTTACTACGTCTGCGTGCATGCAGACTCCGGCAACCCGTTGTTTTTTTTTTTTTTTTGTTTTGTTTTGTTTTTTATGGGGTGGGTTTTTTTTTTTTGTTTTTTTTTTTTTTTTTTGCTCTCTAGATTTCTCATTTTTCTTTTTTTTTTTTTTGGTTGTAGATTACATCGTGCTCGTTTACGTTTGTGTTTGTTTTTTTTGCCCCATCCAACCCTCCCAATCCTCCCCCCCTCCACCCCAGCTGCCTCCACGGAGTGATGTTGGATCTATCTCCCCATCTGGTTTCCTGCCCGTACAGATCCAACCCATAGCCCCAGTCTGGGAATAGACGTTGCGAGTGGGAAGTAGAAGTGGGAGTGGTTTTGGAGATGGTTCCGTTCCGTCCCAAGTGTCTTGAATGGAGTCTCAGTCAGAGCCCAAGTTCAGACATGCAAAATGTTGGTCTCGTTCCAACATGATGTGGAACTGGACACATGGGAATGCGTCCTGCATACAGGCATTCCTAATATGAGTATGCAGCGCGTGACACGTTACTTCAATCTTGGCGATCAGCTAAATATCGCAATGCTTCCTCACAGGTAGTCAACCAGCGAGAGGATCAATGTCATCCCTATCACACTGAAGCGGGTGTGGCAAGAGTAATTACACAGGACTACAGACCTCCAATCGGGCACACGTACATACGCCAACGCAATTAGAGGTATACATACCTTACACATTGTCCTGTACAGTCATTGACAATGGGTATACTCCGATACTAGCTACTGATTTCACACGGGAAGTGCGAGTGATGTAAACGCACTCCCGGCGGTTGGGGAGGGGTCACGGGGTAACGGTTTGACTACACCCCACCCCACTGGCCCTTCCCATTTCCAAAATCGGTGACAAGACTCCACCTACCCCACCCTCCCTCTGGTTGGACGACAAGAGAGTGCGACGGCAGGCGGCGATTATTGAACCACGAGTAGCTCGGGGTTTCTGGCCCGGTTTTTTTGTACCCAGTGACCTCATGGATGACTACCAGCACCTTGTACGGAGACATTGGAATCAGACTTACATCGAGGAGGCAGGGCTTTATTACAGATGGCGCAGACTCCTGTTTGCCTCTCTCAGGTATAATTACACACTACCTGATACTTACATGTTATAGCCCAAAGCAAAATCTCAACAGGCTCAGCTCAGTTTGCGGCATGGCCCTAAGCTCACAATCAGGTCGCCATGACATGTGAATCATCAGTCCCTGTCTGCTTATACTATTATTTTCTCAGGATCAGTTGTTCCGTTGAAGGTATGGACACTGGAGCCAGCTGGGCTGAGTGCTAGTTCTCCTTACACTAGGCCACACCAATGACTCCACCCCACCCCACCCAGGGACAGTTGTCGATGTTCTGCGTGAACGGAACAGGGTAACATGATGAAGACTACACCACACGCCCTCTCGGCGATGCATGGGGTCAGAGTGGTCGGAGTGGAGTGACACCAGACCCGATTTAGTGGAGTATTCTTCTGGGCCATGGGACCACAGAGATTGCTAACGAGTGTTATTACAGGGACTCCTGTCAGTGGCGTGGACTCAGGTAATTACACATTTCTTTCAAGACACAAGTTACACATTAGTGTTGCATTACTTCATGCAGTTGCCAGGAGAAAGGGGGACTGTCCCGTACACCTGCGGAGAAAAAAGTTAGTACATCACCGTGCGAGGGGCTGAAATCTGATTGGCTTTGTAGCAAGGCATCGTCAATGGGATCGTGTAGAAGTGACTCCGCCCATCCGGCTGGGTCAGGGGTAAGAGACGGGACTCCAGTGGGGGGGGATCTCCTGTATCAGTCGTAAGGGGTTAACTTGATTCAACTTGTTACAGAGGGGCAAAAATTTGGTTTCGTCGCAGCTTCACTTCACATCAGTAGGAGTTTGAATCATTAGCATAATTATGTATGGAAAAAAAAAAAAAACACCAATGTTCGTGCCGCTGATGGTAATAATTGAAACAATGGGTATTATCAGGTCATCATATCGGCCCACTGGTCCGAGGTTCCATGCTCTGAAGTCTTCACTCACAGTTCTACTGGTGTGGGCGGGGACTTCCCATGGCGGACGATTCTCTTCTCTCACATCTCCTCTCCCTCACTCCGCGTCTTCCCTCCTCCACCCCCTCCCTTATCCCTCCACAAAAAAATCACCGTTCTTACGTAAAACGTGTTGCCATCATTAGCAACGCCGGCGGAGAGAAGGAACAGACGTCTTGTGGAATCAGATGGAGTATTATAGAACGACCAACACCCCCATTGTAGCCAAACATCACCGTGGATACCGACGTTGGGTGGGGTCGTGGGGGGTTTATACGACAACGCACTTTTTCAAATTTTCAACACTGCTAGACGCTGCCTTGCAACGACACAGGAACTCGGACGGCGGAGAGAGTGTCCCCGTCCGTTACAACACCTGGTCCATCTCTCTACCGATGAACTTTCATTCCCAGAAGGACTAGGAGAAGAACGTCAACACATCGTACACAGTGGTTTTTACTGCGTCAGACTTTGATCTTTAGAAGATGGCTGCCAAACTCTGTGTCAGTGACATAATGTAGCCGGAAGTGACGTGACACCATGGCAGAGACCCATTACCTCTGTTCTGGTGGAGGATCTCCGCAGGTTGATGGGTTCTTTGACGCTGGCGACTTGACTCCACGTTCCCTAGGCAGTGCGGCAGTGGGCTGACGGGATGATGTGGAGGAAAACAAGGCGCTAGGGCCGGAGACTTCTCGCATAACTCTCTACATTCTAGGCTTTCTCAGACGCCCACTCAGGAGTCAGAGTACTGGGTTGAGATGGGAACAGTTTCGGAGGGATTGAACTAACACAGGGGCCGCGCCGTCACAATCACGTCTCCCACCGGGGACCCAGTTTCACCGGTTTTTTCAAACACAGCTACAGCTGCCGAGCTGTTGGTTCACGTGACATAAATGAAAACTGTCTACCTTTCTCGCTCTGGGCGTTGAATAGAAATGGTGTGGGGTTGACCCAGTCGTAGAGTCGTCAGCCAGTTCACGTCGGAAGAAGAAGAGGAGAGGGGGGAGAAAAGAAGATACGTGGGAGGCGCGAGGCCAGACGGGGACATGAAGACAGAGAAGACAGGGGGAAACTTCGCCAATCATTCGCAACTCCCCTCACTGTCACTGGGAGACCGCCTCTCGCCGTCACTGCCACCGGACGCCGCAGAGAGGCGACCTTAACCTTTGTACTTTGCCATCTAACAACCAATATGGTATTGCTGGGAAAGAGTTTGCGGTGGAGTCCATGAAGAGAAACGAGTGGCGGTGTGGTAAACATGTAGCGCCCTCCTCAGCAGATGGCAGGAAGATGTTCTCTCAACTCAATGACTGACAAACTGCTGGTAGTGGGTCGTCCCTGTCTCCAGTCCCATACCAGCAGACGGAAGGACTGTGGGCTTGTGAGGCCTTGCAATTGAATTGAAAGGGGGCGTGGAGGGCAGCGGTTGTTTGATGACAAGTATGCTTCGAACACGTTTGGAGGGAGAGTGGGGGAAACAGGGAACAGTTTGTCCGCTATTTCTCAGTTTTTAACCCTCATCTCCATCCTTCTGCATGGAGAGACGTCTGTGGTTCGATGGGAGAGGGTGTTCAACTATACTCACTTTGTCGCCTTTTCGAATCCGGTGGTATCACAGTGGAGTATTGTGTTTGGGATGTGAGTGGTCCTCAAAGGAAACCTGGGGTCGCGTTAAGGGAGGGGGGGTCGGGAGGGGACCGAAACTAGACCACCTGCAGGAAGACCGGTATCGATGGTGAATGGAACGGAAGTTTTCTTAATCCAAAGCTAGCTGTTGCAGTCCATTACAGCCTCCAGATTGGAATAGGTGACCTGCCGCGGATTTACGACACATGTCTGTCATTCTCCCCGTCCCCAACCCAGACATCTTGACCCCCTCTCCTCCCTCTCCTCCCTCTCCTCCGTTTCTCCCACAACAGACAAGGTTATTCCACAACTCTCAGGAATCACCAGCCCAACTCTCGTCTCGACGGATTTAAGTATTCATGACGGTTTTCCTTGTCGATTACAAACTCCACCCAAGGTGTGGCGTGGTTATTTGAAGGACTCGGCTTTACCGAGACGAGATTGACGCAATCAAACCATGAGTCTCCTGTCCCCAGGGAGGTGGGACCGAGTTCATGACGCAGAGTCAGGAATCCATTATACGAACCGGTGGCCACATGTCAGACCTATTCCTGAACCAAACTGAAGATCTGGAGTATGACGACGTGGGAATCGGACTCCAGTGGACGATGTTGGTCTGGAATTGAAACAACGGAGCAGGTACTATTTCATGTGCGGCTGGACATACGAGCAGGCGGCTGTGGTCTAGGGTGGTATCGACCAATGGGATACAGTCGACATGACGCGACCTAACCAACCGACACGCTGTGTGTGGGAGCTGCCTTAGTATCACCTCAGAAGCACAATTAGCTCAGGGGCCTCCCTGTGTAAGAATCTCTAACTTACGAAGAGAAAGAAGGGGTACGAGTATGTACCAATACTACCCGTCCTCAACTCTGTCTTCGGTGTCTGAGTCAGATGCTATGGGGCACTCTCTCACTCTCCCCAACCTCACCCTCCTCACTCCACACCCTCCTTCTGGTTGGCAGGCAACAGGGAGAAAGTGGGTGTGCGTCACAGTCTCCGCGGGGCTCCGTATCCAGGGACCAGACGATCTGGAGAAGTGTTCTTGGTCCACACGCAGGACAAAGACAAAACCAGCCTTCACAGTCGTCCAGGTCCAGGTCCAATCACACCGACTGAGTCCGATTCCATTCTGAATCTGAAGTCCCCCTCATATCAGTATGGTCTCCGATTGATGAAATCACGACGCTGTCCAGATGGATACAGTCGTTAAGCTACATTCGATGATGTCATCAACAATAATTTGTCTGCACTGTCGAGTGGGCAGGAGCAGTGTATGGAGCGTGGAACGAGATTCAGGGCAAGTTGCGAGCTGAGGTGAGGAGGGGAGAGGAGCCTGTGAGGCGAGACGGTTTACATACAAGGGGCCATTGGAACCACTGAAGGAGGCGAACAGCTACACCTTTCACCTCCACTGGTGAATTCCACCAGGGGAAGACCCAATACTTATATGTGTCTCCTGGCCAATCTCACGTGCACGTACCAAACCTTTAATGAACGTTGAATGCACCCCTTCAGGCATTGCAATGTGTGCAGATTAATTGTTCCCGCTCCCATTCCTTACAGGCTCAACTCAATATGAGGTCATTAGAACCTGTCCCAAATTACATACAGACCGCGCAGTCTATCTGTCATGGTGGCATGGAACCAAGCGGAGACGAGACTGCTGGTGTACGGAGAGACCTACTCCGTTGACTTTACTCCAACCAGAGTTGAGGGAAGGGGGACCCACGAGTGTTGGACGGCAGGTAGGCGGAGTAGATCTGGAGTATCAGAGCCACGACAGATCTGCAATCTGATTGGTCGGATGTCGGTGACCAGAGAGCGAAGTGGGATTGACGATGTTCCTTCATCATTGGTAGCTCTCCAGCAGGAACACCCATACGAGAAGTTCAGCTGAAAGTCATATAGTCCAGTCTGGCTACGCCTAACCAGTTGTGGAACTTGTATTAACATACTGCACAACAAGAAGACCACTGCCCAATGCAAGAAAACGCAAAATTACAAAACCCAAACCTACATTTACTAGCACATGCTGATGTTCTTATACTAAGAGTGAACATGTGTGAACTTGGTACAATTCTGAACAGCCAGGCAGGCAGCATCAGATCTCCACCTCCAAACTCCACACATCTGCACCAATTCCCAGTCACACTCCCTACAGTCCCCACAGCCACTATGTCGTCACCACGGCTATAACCTGCAAGGAATTGGCGCGGAATCACAATCAACGTTTCCTCCAACGGCATGTAGAGTGCAGTAACAATTTTACTCCAAACTAAGCCACTAATCAATCTGCCTACCTGCCGTGCGGTCTTATAAAGCCCTTCAATACGGAGCTATGCGGTCACAATGACAGTCAACGTGCCACCATCCACCAATGTCACTCTGAGGTCGGGGACGGTTTTGCGGAGCCAGCGGCGGGAGGGGGAACACCCTTCATACGACGCGCTGGGCCTGGGGGAGGTGAGAGACAGGAGAGTTGTGTGATGGGGGAGATGCCAGACAACTCATAGTTGACGGAAGTGGGCGTGGCCTCTGAGGAAGAGATGGTTTCTGCATGTGTTGACGGCGGTTCTAATAACATTTGGCAGGTATTCGTGCCATTACACTAACCAGGGGAAGAGTTGTGATTCAGACAAGTCATCCAATGACACTGCGTACGTTTGAAAAAAATTTTGTTGTATGTAGTTTTCCTAAAAATCAGTAATGTTACACCCTGTTCACCCGGTTGTCGCAATTCAATTATTAATTGGGTTGACGACACAACCGCTGCATTTTGATATTTGGTTTCAGATAATGTTTCAAGTAGTCCTCACAAATGACCTTTGAACGTCCCTCGGCAAAAATGATGGGGAGCGGGATATAAGCCGGAGCGGCGACATCAGAAGACGTGCGGTGGAGCTTGCGACAGCCCACACCCACCCCACGGCTTGTAGGCCACGCGCTTCGTTAATTCGGTCGCAGGGGGACTCTATTTCCTTGGTCTGGTGCGCTGTGTCTAGATCAGAGTTGTTCCACAAGACCTGACAGCAGTGATGCGTGGATGGTGGTTTGCCACTAAACATGTAGTTCCTTAATCTGTATTCCCAAAGAATGAGTTTAATTACATACATAGCTCCGGTTGTTTTGTTTGTCTTTGTTTGTTTTTTTTGTTTGACTGGTCGCCATGTTAACCAATTTATTGTTAACAATCCATTTAAATTAAAAATGAAACAAAGCACCGAAAGTGCAAAACCCTCGGCACACTATATAGAAAATGTGGAACCCAAGTGTGGCACCACCCCAATTGCCCTGTCCGTCACGACACCGCTGGGTGTTAGGAAGCAGCA